TGATCTGGAGATATAGCTATGGAGCTGTAAAGCTGGCTTGATGGAATTGTAAAAAGTCAGTATGACACCGAATGAAAACAGTGAAGCTTTTGGAAACAAAATAAAGAAGGATTTTTGGATTTGAGGGAGTCAGGAGCACCATATCTGTTCCACCTGCAGGTGCTGGATCCACATGGTGATGGTGAGTGGTACAGAGTGAGAAATGACAGGCAATGCCCACTGGTGGCCTCGGTTGTTCAGATAAAACCTGCTTTGTAGGAGATTGAATCTCCATGCTAGAGCATTGAATTGTCCATTTCATGTCTTCTGCATTCCTGGTGAGGATTTTCTGGAAGTAAGGGGAAGAGATAGATGCTGGATAGCCTGCTACTCTGGCTTTTAGTACAGTCATCTAGGTTGCAGAGGAAGATGTATGAAAATGGTGAAAAACTTATGCTGAGACCTGTAGCACAGCAGCAGGTGAGAGCTGATGGAAAAGTAAGGCTGGTGTAAAGAGTGGGGTGAACAAAGGTGACAGCAGCAATTAATCTGGGGAGAAGATGGAGAAAAAAAAGCTCAAATGCAAAATGATGCTTCTTGGCTAGAGCATTTTGTCTGCACAGGGTGGGCCTGGCTAAATGTGGCATTTGGCAAAACTTCCATAGTGTTAGAAGGAGCAAGAGTGGGGTGGGTGGGATGAGAACTCCTTACATGTTTCCTGCTGCTTCAGGTAATATTGAATGTCAAGTCTATGTGCCCATCTCATTGATGGAGGGTGGGGGTAGTAATTAACAATTAGCCTGGGAAAAAGCAATAATAAGAAGATAAATGATTGCTGGGGAGATAGGGACCATGAGTCTGGGGATGCATGGCAGTGGGGCTGGGACTCTTCACCAAGGGGCAGCAGTTCTCTAGAGCAGGACAGTAGGGGAACTGAGAGTTCCTGTGTTGAGGTCTGGGTTTGAGCGCTGTAGGAAGCCAAGGCTGTGAGGAGCAAAAGGTGGCACTCGGTTTTGAGAAAGTAGGGTGGTACATGAGATGGTGGAAGTTTAGAGGATGCATGCTGAGGTTGAAGTCTGGGGAGAGAAAAGAGAGATACAAAAAGTTTGAAGGGAGGTTTGGTGTCCTGCTTTGGAGAGGAGCAAGAAATTGTAGAAGATTTACATCTTCTACAGGAGATGACAGGATTCATCTCCTGGTAGCCTGTTTTCTACTCACATCTTCAGTGTGTGATGCCAGCCATATGCTCCCTGCCACTTGATGCAAAGCTATGCCTCCCTTCTCGCTCTGTCCTCCCAGGCACCTCAAAGCTCTTGCTTCACTAAGGCTTTCCATCCCTTCAGATGACCCTTCCAGCTGATATTAGCCCAGTAGGCTGTGCAGCAGCCTTGTGTGGCAGGCTGTCCCAGGAAACTGCTACAGAAGAAGAAAACACCTGTATCAGCCTGGTGACACAGCCCACTGCACTGCAGCCCCTGGCTGTTACCATGGTGCTGCACCAGGAGAGTGGCTGTCTCTGGTGTCACACTCCGGCTGGACACATGACACCTCTGCCTTGAGTCTTGTTCAGCTTTGCCTCCTGTTCTCTGCTGTGGGAACAAATGGCATCTTCCTTTGTTTAGAAAATCTGCTGAGAGACCTGCCAGCAGAGACCTTCCAGTCCTGACCAAAGTCAATATTGATCTGTTCACATTGGCTAGGCTCACTCTGTCCCAGTGCAATGTGCTTGTCACCATTTAACCTTCCACCTGTCATTTGTGACTGATGCCTGAGGAGAACTGAGGAGGGATGTGCCCACCCATTTCCAGCTGTTTGTTGCTGACACCCGCAGCAGCTTTGTTTAAGCAAAGGAAGTGATCTTGTTAGTACTTTTCTTTGCAGCAGCATTGATTCCATTTTTGGCTACAGCATTTCAGCCAGCGGCTGCTGTATGAACATGCCAGAGTTACAGGCCATAATTATCCTGTTTTGGGGAGCAGAGTGGGGTGATATGCCTTATGTTTGCCTGACTCTGAAGGCTGCTTATTGCATGTCAGTGCAACCACAGTTTTAGGTGCAGCAGTCCTTCTCTGACTCAGGTTTTCCAGGTACTGATAGTACTGTAAAAAGCTGCTACCTACCCTACCAAAAAGAAAAGACATTGAAAAAATGTTCCCTTCCCCTCACTGGCTTAGAATTTGATGTGCAGTCTCAGTCCTGTCTGAACCATCTGTAGGAAGATAAAGAAGATACTCATGAAAAGGGGAAAACTGTTCAGGAGACTTTGCAGGAGTATGCCAGGGTCTACGGAAGCCGAAACCACAAAGCCACAGTATCTTGGCTTGAAATGTATGCTTTCCTTGATGATAGCATGCCATAGAGTTACAGTATTTGGCATGTCCTTTTGGAGGTCAAGACCAGAAAGATTTCTGTGAGACTGGCTAAGGTTTTCATAGAAAGGGTAGTATTCTGTAGGATCACATGTGTTGTTCAGGAGGGTAAAAGACTACCTGGAGCATTTCTGTTCAGCTCAAATACAGTGTGCTCCCCTCACTTGCATGTTGGAGTGTGCTTCTGAACACCTCTGCTGATGTTTATGCAAAACATTCCTTTTTCTTGTGGCTGATAGTCTAGATGGGCTACTTTGCTAATGAATCCATCTGGTTACCATATGCAGGCAAAAGGCAGGGATGGCAGAAGGAATCAGTGAGTCTAGGACAGATGGGGCTCTGAGAGGAAGACTCGAGAGTAACCATGCCTAGGCAGAGGTTTTTCAGGCTTATTTTGAGATGGCCTTTGATAAATCTGATTCAACAGAGCACTGTTTCCTTGTTGAACATATGGCTGGGTGTTTGAGTCTGAGAGAGGAAGGTCTCACTTTCCTTACATTCTTCCTTTGCTTTTCTGCTAGGCACTGTATCCTCTGGGGAAGAGCTGAGGAGCTGTGCATGCCAGACTGACCTGTGGGGCTGATGATGCTGGTGTGATGCATCTTATGTACTATAAGGCAGTGAAAGAACTCTTCCTTCATATTGCCCCAAAGGCCAAATCTACCCTTGCTGCATGGATGACACTGCACATAAACCAAACTGTGATTCTCTCCTTTACCCTTTATGTGGCAAGCTGGGGGAAGGGAAGAAATCTTGGTGATTTGATCCCTAGAAGCCTCCCTCTAATGATATAATATGGCACAGATCCAGACACAGAAACAACTGAGCTCCTGGAAACTGGCTGAAATTTGCTTTTCCCTACCTCCGCTGATGGCATTCCCATTAGTGGAGTATTCTGGAACTCCCAGACCTAGCCTCTTGCTTCCCTGTCAGAACTAGGATGGTGGACTTTCCCCTATCCAGAGAGATGGCTAGGCTATACCCCTAATGCTGGGGAGCAGCAGGAGCAGAACTCTGTGTGACTCGGTAGCCCAGGAGCAACCGACTACTTCTCTGTCACTTTTTGAGGTGCTTGGGAAGAACATGGACAACACCAGCCTGGCTGGGACCCTTTCTCATGGTCTTTACTCTGGCAAGCTTTCAGTAGGGCCCGTAGATGACACCAGGCTTGTTGCATGGAGCTGCTACTTTTGGAGGGAGTCGGCAAGGGAAAGATTTAATGACCTGTCCCTGCTGTAGGCTCACCAGATCCGCACAAACTCCCAGGAGTTTTGGGTTTTGCTGGGGAGGGGATGGCGGGCTGCTCAAAAGGCTGTACCCACCACAGATAGGCTGATTTCAGGACCCTGCAGCCCTTTGCTAAAGAGAAGGCCAAAGATGGAGATTTGCTGGACATGGGGAAGAGCAAGGGTTAAGAATAAGAGAGGAGGTGACAGCAGAGACTGAGGAGGTAGCCAAGAACCTGCCAAAGCAGGGATATTCAGCAGGATTTTCTGTGTCCTTCAGTTTGACTTGATCTAATAAGGTGACTTCTAAACACTGCCAGGGGAAGTTTAGGCTGGATATTATGAAGAAATTCTTTACAGAGAGAGTAATCAGACACTGGAATGGGCTGCCCAGGGAGGGGGTGGATTCTCTGTCCCTGGAGGTTTTTAAGATGAGCCTGGATGTGGCATCAATCCCATGGTCTAGTAACCACGGCAGTGTTGGATCAAGGGTTGGACTTGATGATATCAGAGGTGTTTTCCAAGCCAGTTGATGCTATGATTCTATGACTCATCCAGCAGGGGAGGTACCTGTGCTGTGAAGTCCTTGGTTTTGGAGATAAATATCAAATTGGAGATCCCCAAAGTCTGATGGGTGGAATAACAAGTGTTTTAGATTCCCCATCAAATGGTCTAATTTTGGCCAGTTACAGGGCTACACAAGCAGGGAATATTGGTCATTTCCTCTCCTCCCAAGGAACATGTGAGATAGAGGAGAGTGTGAAGGGAAATCTCCAGACACAAGAAATGGAGGATCTGAAAAAACAGTTTCCTGGAAGTCCTGGGCATAGCAAGACTCTGGAGAATTGTCAATGCAGAAAGGAGCAGGACAAGAGTCAGTTAACCCATAAAAGGGAAGTTTCCAGGAGCTTTGAGTATGAGGCCAAACCAACCTGGCAACCTGCAAGGAAAAAGCCAAGTGGAGAATGATGATACTGGCATGGCTTGCAGCATAATGCCTCCTCACAGCAAAGCCAGCTAACTAGCCAGTGTGTTCACTAACCCAGTCCATGTGGCTATCACCCTGGGCTTTACTATAATGATTTGTACCTGACTCTTCTTAAGAAAGTTACCATCTTTACACATGCACCAGTTGTTCTCAGTCTGCACCTGACCTCCAAATTTGCTGTCTTCTTTGTGCTGTTGCAGCTACTTTTCCACCCTTAATTAAAAAAGAAATGGTTGTGATGGTGACTGTGTTTTTCTGAGTAAAACCAGAAAGAAAAATGTTTTCCCAGCTGTGTCCAGAAAAGCTGTGTCCAGAAAAGCCAGACACACAGAGGAAAATCCAATAAATGATTAACTCAGTCTTTCCATCTGTAGATAACGGTGTTTCTGCTTAGGGATTTTCAAGTATTTTTTTTTTCTTTTAGTGCTAACTTTCTTTTCCCTCATGACAAAAGAGAGTCTTTTTGATTTGCATGTCCTGAGAAATTTTCTGGTGAGTACCTGGATGATGGCTTACTTGTGGTTTTCTGCCTTTTGAATGAGGAAAAATGATTTGGAAGTGAGTTTTCTGTACTCCTTCCCTGTGAGAGCAGAATAATGAGCAAGGCAGCACCTTTATAGCCAAAAGATTAGAGTTTATGCATTGTTACCCTTTACAGAGCACTGATTTTGATACACTCCTTTTTTCTTTTTCCCTTTTTTTTTTTTTTGTTTCACTTGGGGGTGAGGTGGTGATGTAAGGTATTTTCAGCTGTGAATTTCTGACCCAGAGAATTAGTGTTTGTCTTAGGAAGTGGTGGGAAGAGGTTGGGGCCATCTGTCTGGAACAGTGATGTTCAGTCCATGCATACACCTTGGTGCTGCCCTGCTGATGAGAGAAAGCACCCTATGACCTCACGTTGTGACCAGAAGCAGGTTTGATCCATGTTTTAGGATCAGAAAAATGGGTTTAGTTTGCTGCCCTTCTATCGCTCAGGTTTGGGTCTGCTTGACAAGGACACCTTGGCAGCCCCTTGACACTGCCTAGCTTATCCATTTTCCTGTTTGTTGACCTCCTGTTTCTCATTCAAGACTCCTTGCAAACAAGCAATCCACCATAATTACTTTTTTGCCCCAGGTCCCAATTTTGCTGCCTGGCATATGCTGTATGCTCGAACCTAAATTCTTAAATTCTTAAGAGTTCTCCATAGCTGTGACACATAACTCACAACTACTTAGCAAGCTGCCAGTTTTTGTGTCAGTTTTTGCTGACATTTCTTTTAGCTTTTGATGTAACTACCCGGACACTTATATCAAGCTTTTGGACAAAAAACCCCACAGATTTCCTTCATAAATGCACTAAACCCATCCCATTTCTTTACTGATTGCCCATTCACAGAAATGTTTTAGGATTTAATATGGTCATTGTGCAGAAAATAATGATGAGTGGTGTAAGAAACTCCACCTTCCCCTGTGTAAATTTCAGGACCCCGTCATCCTCCTTGGGCAGTGAAGCAAACTAACAGCTAGATGCCTGTGTAGCAGAGGCTTGCAGGATCATCTTGCCACAGGCTGGCAAATGCTCTCCTCTCCCAGTCCTTCAGCACAGAGCATATTCCTGGCAGCCTAAATGTCTGGGTGACTCAGGCCAGATGCCTGGATCAGAGAGAAATTCTTCTCAACACAAAGAGGGGGGGAAAACCCAAAGTGGGGTGCAGTTGCTGCATCTGCCACCTAGGTGCCCAGGGCAGGGTGATGTGCAGCTGCCTTGCAAGGGGCAGCACCAGCCCCCTCCCTCCCTGCCCCACAAGCCTCAAACCCTGTTTTTGCTTCCAGCTGCCTCCTGGCCTGCATGACCTCAGCCCTCTTGGGGAAGAGGGAGGCAGAGTGCATCAACTCCTCAGAGCCCCAGGCGCTGGGTGGTTTCTTCTTCCACTGCATTAGCCAGCTCAGATGTGGCACAGATGGAGAATATGCAGCCTGTGCCCCTTCACCGGCTTCTGGGGCCTCAGAGGCCCCTGACAGATGGGACAAAACCCTGGCGGGGCCAAAACATGCTTGACATCACAGCTGTGGCTGGGGGAGAGGGGTGAAGCCCTTCAGCACATCAACCTGCCCTGCTGGGGCACAGCAGTCCATGGCACAGTTCAGCCACAGATGATGGGCATGGAGCTGCATCACAGGCACATGCAGCTCCCATGGGTTTTGGGTTCTGTGCTGACACACGGGGCAGAGGCCCACACCAGTCTGTGCGTAGAGACCTCTTCAGGCCCCATGCCAGCTCTTTCAGGGGATGGAAAGCCAGGTTTTCATACGCCTGTTCCCAGAGGACAAAAATTACTGGATTGGAGGACTGCTGAGCAGGGCAGGGGGCAGATGCTGTGCCGCTCCTGTGATGGGTGGGTAAACATAGCTTGTGCTGGGGTGCAGGTTTAGGGGCTTAGCACGTGGAGAGGAAAGCTGCAGGGAAAGAGCAGGATGCCTTCTGAAATACAGGGTACACCAGGTCTGAAGCACCCATTCGACAGAGGCAGTGCAGTCTCCCTAGAGGGTGGCATGGGTGGAAAGCAGGGCCACTATTGTTTGGGTAACTGTGGAGCTGGAAGTGGTGAAAAAGGGTGGGTTCAAGTTAGGAGGAGCAGTGTGAACTCTGCCTGCTGCAGCCCTATTGGGAGGAGCATGGGGAGGTGTCACTGGATGGAGCCACCAGATGAGTTTTAAGAGCCTGGAGATGGTGCTGCTACTCCCGTCTTACTGCTAAGCAGGTAAAGCTTCAGGCCAGGCTTCATGTATTATGCCTGGACTTACTTTTATTCTGCCAGAAATGGAGTTTTAAAATTTTTTTTCATAGTGCTGTAGAATGGAAAGGCTGAGATCGTCCAGTGCTGACAGGGAGGATGCTTGAGGTCGATGGGGAACAAGGCAGGACTACACTCTCTCCTTGGCCGCAGAGATGCTGCTCTTCCCTGGGCGTGGTACACTTAAGTCAATGACTTCATGGTGATGCACTCCTACCACTAGCACTGTCCAGAGCCTTTCAGAAAAGAAAAGCATCAGAAAACAACCTTGTCTACCACCTAACATGCAGCTTTGTTTTCCAGTGCTGGGGATGAAGCAAACATACGGTGTTCAGTGAGTCCTGGTCCTAGGAGATTGCTCCAGAAAGCCTATCCTTAATTTTGATGGGTTAAAACCAAGATGTTTTCAGCTGCTACTGAACAAAACACAAATAGGCTGAACCCACAGAAACTGACACTCTTCTTTATCCAGTCTGTCAGTTACTTGGGCAACTCATTCCTCTAACTGGGGCCATGAAATTTGGGGGTGTTTTCTAATGCACAGCTTCTGACGGGCAAACCCCACTTTTATTTAAAAGAACAACTCGCAGAGCTCCTGGGTAGAGAAATTCTAACGATGTGGCTGTTAGCTCAGAAACCTGAAGGCGCAAGAGAACTTCCAGCAAGCTGTGAAAAAAAGTGAAAAATCAGTTTCCAGTGTTCAGGTGGGGTTACTCCGAAGACATCTGCGCCGTTCTGGTTTTTGAAGTCGGACTGCGAGGGAAAGCCCCAGGGCTGGAAAAGGCTCCTGCCTTTCCAGGAGCCTTTTTTTAACTTTTGTTTT